TCCTGCTGGTAGCCAGCCCCTGGTAGCCTCTATTCTACTTTCTGTCTCTATGACTTTGACTACTCTAGGGACCTCATTTAAGTGGAATAGTGCAATATTTGTCCTTTTGTGACTGGCTTATTTCACTTAGCATAATGTCCTCCAGATTCATCCATGTTGTAGCTTGTGTCAGAATTTCCTTCCTTTTTAAGACTGAATAATATTCCATGGGATGTATATATAGTCCTCCCTCGGTATCCCACGAGGATTGATTCCAGGACCCCCCGCAGATACCAAAATTCATGGATACACAAGTCCCTTATATAAAATGGCATAGTATTTGCATATAAGCTATGCACATCCTCCTGTATACTTTTAGTCATCTGTAGATTACTTATGATACCTAAGTCTATGTCAGTGCTATATAAATAGTTGCCAGGTACGTGGCAAATTCAAGCTTTGCTTTTTGGAACTTTCGGATTTTTTTTTTTTCTGAATATTTTTGATCTGCAGTTGGTTGAATCTGAGGATGTGGAACCCAAGGATGCGGGAGGGCTGACTGTACCCCATTTTGTTTATTCATTCATCTGCTGATGGACACTTGGGTTGTTTCCACCTTTTGGCTCTTGTGAATAGCGCTGCTATGAACATTAGTGTACAGATACTGCTCAAATCCCTGCTTTCAGTTCTTTTGCAAATATACTTGAGTGGAACTGCTGGGCCATACGGTAGTTCTATGTTTAACCTTTTGTGAAACTGCCAAATTCTTTTCCACAGTGGCTGCACCATTTTACATGCCCACTAGCAATGCACAAAGGTACCAATTTTTCCACATCCTCACCAACACTTATTTTCCGTTTTTAAAAATTTATAGCTATCCTCATACGTGTGAAACTCTTTTTCATCAAATAAGAAACTGTTGTTACGACCAGGTGAAATGCATCTAGGAACTACTCCCACTGTAACTGGTGGGCACTAAAAACCCTTTTCATTTTACTTTATTTATTTATTTTTGGCTGCCTTGGGTCTTCGTTGCTGCAGCCACGAAGAGAAACTAGGCTTTCTCTAGTTGCGGCGAGCGGGGGGTTACTCTTCGTTGCAGAGCATGTGCTCTAGGTGTGCGGGCTTCAGTAGTTGTGGTGCTTGGACTTAGTTGCTCTGCGGCATGTGGGATCTTCCCTGGCCAGGGCTCAAACCCATCCCCCTACATTGGCCGGCAGATTCTTAACCGCTGCGTCACCAGGGAAGTCCCTCATTTTACTTTTAATGTATGTAAAATGATGCAAATAAATGCACAAAACATTCTATTAAAGTTTTAAAACAGTACAGAGAGGGGCTTCCCTGGTGTCGCTAGTGGTTGAGAGTCCGCCTGCCGATGCAGGGGACACGGGTTCGGGCCCCGGTCCGGGAAGATCCCACATGCTGCGGAGCGGCTGGGCCCGTGAGCCATGGCCGCTGAGCCCGCGTGTCCGGAGCCTGTGCTCCGCAACGGAAGAGGCCACAGCAGTGAGAGGCCCGCGTACAGCAAAAAAAAAAAAAAAAAACAGTACAGAGAGAGTGAAAGTGTCCTTTGAATCTGTCCCCATTTCAGGCTCCTCCCCAGCCTGCTGTCAGGCAGTATCTCTCCAGAGTTTTCCATGCATTTATGTTCATGTGTGAACATTTATAAGAGAGTAGTTTTCCATTTTTTATATAAAAAGCATCATACCACTTTTATTGTTCGGTGACTTGCATCTTTTACTGAACAATAAACAATCTTTCCATGTTGTTGTTTCTAGATCTATGCTGCTCTTATATTTTTATTTATCCTATAGTATGGGTGTACTGTACTTAAAATAATTTATTATTAACCACAGAACATTGTTTCTCACGCATGCCCTCCTGAGCTGACATAATGAGCGAGCACTGGCCATTGTTGAGAACAGCGTACCTCCTACTTCAGCCTCTTATCCGCATCTGGACATCTGGCCTCTGTTTCCCACTCACGTGGGCCTCTCTGAGCTGGCCTCCAGGGGTCAGCTTCCTGCCAACCGTGGCTGCTGACCTTCCGTGTCTTCAACTTTGCAGGCCAAGAACAAGGAGACAGGTGCCTTGGCTGCCGCCAAAGTAATTGAGACCAAGAGTGAGGAGGAGCTGGAGGACTACATCGTGGAGATTGAGATCCTCGCCACCTGTGACCACCCCTACATCGTGAAGCTCCTGGGAGCCTACTACTATGACTGGAAGCTGTGGGTAAGGTGCCACCGCCTGTTCCCCTTGGCTCCCATGGCCTGGTGCCACCAGACCCTGCTTGGTTCTAAGGGCCTCAACACTTTCTCAGCTTCTGCTTCAAGGGCAAGGGCTGGGGCGAGGACAAGGTGAAGTTGGGGGGCTCTGGGTCCCCTGCCCCCTCTTTCTGCAGAGCCTCCCCACTTTGGGGGCCAGGGGTAGTGGTTTGGAGCGGGAAGGAACTCTGAAACTCTGCTGCCTGGCCTCGAATCCCAGCTCTGCTTGGATAACCCTAGGCAAGTTCTTAACCTCTCCTTGCTTCAGTTTCCCCATCTGTAAAATGGGGATGATAACAGTACCTAGCTCATTGAGTTGTTCCTGGGATTAAATGAGTTAATTTATGATGGGTGCTTGGAAGAGTAGCTGGCACATGTCAGAGTTCGCTGAGTGTGAGCTGTTCTATTATTTGTTGTGGTGGCATCGTTATTACTACTGCTGCGGCTGCTCCAAGGGGATGCCTTTCAATGGCAGCACTAAAGGAAACCCTTTAACAGCCCCCACTCTCGGTCAGCAACCTCATATTTTGAGGTGCACAGTGCAGATACAGCTTCAATCCCCACCTTCCCAACTCAGCATCACCCTTGGAGGAATTCCAGGGTGCCCTGGTTTTCATAGAGCCTGCCCCGCAGAATGGCTGCCGCATTGATGTTCTCCTAGTATTAATGCCTCTCAGTTTATAAAACCCAAACTTCCTAGAAGGTACATGTTTCCAGACTTCCTTTTCAGCCAATGTTGAGCCCGTAAAACATCATATTTACATTCCTAAAACTCAGCATAACATTTGTAACGAAATGATGTGCAGGAAGTCTCGTGAATTCTAGATGTAATTGGAAGACTGTCTGACTCACATGTAGATGGTTTGCAAAGGGAGCGAGGGTCAGTGGGGGCTGGGCATCTCGGAATACGCCGGATCCGAGAGAGCGGCCCAGGCTCATGCTACCGCAGTTACTGGTTGTTAATAATGATTTGGTGGTCAGGAGGGGATTTTTTTTGGCGTGGAATGTAGGATCTTACTTCCCTGACCAGGGATCAAACCTGGGCCCATGGCAGTGAAAGTGCCCAGTCTTAACCACTGGACCACCAGGGGATTCCCAAGAAGGTATGTTTTAAGCATTGGACCTCCTATTACGGTAGTTTATCATGTACAGGGAGAGTGTTACTATGTGTTAGTTACATTTTAGGAAATTAATGGGGAGTCTTGAGTTGACACGTCATGCTTTATAATTTTTCCCATTTGAAATAATGCGAAATGGACTCTAAGTTGATTCTTTTTGCACAGAATGCCTGATTTTGAGGAACAGAGCTACTGGTGCTTAATGGAGAAATCTGTGTTTCATTTGAGAAAAGGATCCTGTTATTTAAGAAAACCAAAGGAGTGGTTTAGAAACCACTGTCAAAGTTCATCCCTCTCATTTCACAGAAGTGAAGGAAGCCAGTGTCTGAGGGGGGTGAGAAGTTGGCGCCCCAGCTCCGCCCAGAACTCTGTCCACTAAAACTGGTTGCCCCGCAATGGAGGCCAGCTTTCTTTTGCTTCTCTGAGCATCTCCTTGGGGAGTCTTCTAGATGTCACTGGGGGGAATAAAACCACCATCACCTGACTGTCAGCTGTGGATATCAAAGCCTTTCCTCATCCACTGTCTCTGGGCACCTTGGAAGGTGAGCCGGGCAGGGGACTGGTCACCCTTTTCCAAAGGGGAGGGGACAGACGCACAGAGAGGGCAGGCTCCTTGCTCATGGTCACGTAGCTGAGGCTCAGGAAGCTGAGCCTATGCATTTCTTCTGTCTTGATTCATGGAGCTGCCTTTTAAAAAATTTTTCTTCTTTTAAGAAATTAAACAAATTTTAAAATATATGGCTATCAGAGGAAAATGAGAGTATACAGAAAAGCAAAAACAAAAACGAAAAAGATTAATACCATCCAAATCTTTACACCAAAGATAACCACTGATAACATTTGGAATATATTTTTCTAGACTTTTTCTATATATACACACACTCATAGTTATTAAAAAAAGATGAACTTACACCAGACTAGTTACTTCACTTTTTACCCTTTATATTTAAGATATATTAAGAACAACTTTTCACGTCTTAGGGAAACAGCTGCATCTTCATTTTTTCTTTTTCTGTAGAATTCCATCTTCTGACTATTGAGCATTTAGGCCGTTGCTTTTTTAAAAAATTTTAATTGCTGTTGTAAGCAACTCCGTGATGGACACCTTTGAATTTTTGTGTTCTTGCCTGAGAATCTCTTTAGGAGAATTTTTAAGATTTTTAAGTGTCTATTGCCAAGCCGGTCTCACAGAGCCACTTTTTTTTTTTTTTTTTAATTAATTAATTTTTGGCTGCATTGGGTCTTCGTTGCTGCATGCGGGCTTTCTCTAGTTGCGGTGAGGGTGGCTACTACTCTTCATGGTGCGCGGGCTTCTCACTGCGGTGGCTTCTCTTGTTGTGGAGCACGGGCTTCAGTAGTTGTGGCATGTGGGCTCAGTAGTTGTGGCTCCTGGGCTCTAGAGCGCACGTTGAGTTGTTGTGGCACAGGGGCTTAGTTGCTCCGTGGTATGTGGGATCTTCCCGGACCAGGGCTCCAACCCGTGTCCTTTGCATTGGCAAGGAGATTCTTTTTTTTTTTTTTTTTTGCCGCGTGCTTGATCACCAAAGAGACCAAGAAAGAATAACCTATCATCACTCTTCACGTTAGCCCGTGTCACTGCTGACAGCAGTTGCTACCTATGTTATGGGAGTGATTGAAAAGATAGATTTGGTAACAACATTTTTTCCCCATGTTTGGACATGGAAAAATGGCCTTTGATTTGTGGCTATAGACCTGATTTGATGGACCTTGTATTGTTTTCAGTGAAAAAGGAGGAGTAGTTAGTGATAATCAATGTGATTTTAATCCCCAGTGTTTTTATTTATCCCAGAGATCAATATCTCTATAGGAGCACTCCCTTCAATCAAAAGCACTATGGAGAAAGTCTGTTCATCATCTTAACCACATCCATTCCTCAGCCCCAATGATTAAATAACTTCAGCATGTATGAATTTGTTTCAGGTGTCCTTAAAGTAGGCTAATTCTGTTCCATTTGAATGTCCTTGGTTATATGGTATTCAGACAGAAGGAGATTACAAAACACTAGAAACTATTCAAATGTCTTTGTGTTAATTGAATTGCCAGAAATTTTATCATGAGGCTGTAATGATTCCAAGGCCCTGGCAGGACGTAGCTGCTTTAAAAGGAGCAACACGCTAGAAAGGCAGCTTCCCTTCTCTGACTTAGCAGGGCTGCAATCAGCTTGCCTAGAGCCCCCTGGGAACCGGGCAAGGCAGCCCTTTGGTACTAAGTGGATGTATGAAGGTTCTGCAAGGAGATTTTTTTTTTTTTTTTTTTTAAATTTATTTATTTATTTATTTATTTTTGGCTGCATTGAGTCTTCATTGTTTGGTCTTAGTTGCTGCACGCGGGCTTTCTCTAGTTGCGGCAAGAGGGGGCTACTCTTCGTTGCGGCGCACAGGCTTCTCATTGCTGTGGCTTCTCTTGTTGCAGGGCTTGGGCTCTAGGTGTGTGGGCTTCAGGAGCTGTGGCACGCAGGCTCCGTAGTTGTGGCTCATGGGCTCTAGAGCGCAGGCTCCAATAGTTGTGGCGCACGGGCTTAGTTGCTCCACGGCATGTGGGATATTCCCGGACCAGAGATCGAACCCATGTCCCGTGCATTGGCAGGCGGATTCTCAACCTCTGGGCCACCAGGGAAGTCCTGGCAGGCGGATTCTTAACCCCTACGCCACCAGGGAAGTCCCCAGAGCCACTTTTGATATTATACAAATGAGTTTTTCCATCAAACCACCTACCTACAACACATACGCACACCCACCCACCCATCCATCAATCCGTCTATCCTGCTATCCATCAACACAATCTTCATTGAATTGCTGATTATGTACCCATTAAGAAAAACATGTTTTATGTGTCTGTTCCCATTATTGTTTGTGACTGGATACCAAGTTCATTATGTTCCCAAGTCCAAAGATAATACCAACAACAGCTAACATTTATTGAAGGCTTACTGTGTGCTGGGCCTTTTGCTGTGCATTTTACTTGCATTATGTCATTTAATCTTCATTCTTTGAGGTTGTTGCTTTATCCTCATCTTATAGATGAAAGTGAGAAACAAAGATACTAAGTAAGTTTCCCCCCTGCCAGGCCACACAGCTAGAAAGTGACAGAGCTGGAAAACCCGATGGAGAAAAAGGCCAATTTGTAACTATACAGTGACTGTGATGAGGTTGTTTAAACAGATACACCAGAATTTTCTGTCCCAAAGTTGTCACTTTAGGCTGGTACTTTCTTATCCAGGGCTGCTGCTTTGGCCAAAATCATTTCTCACCCTCCTCTTCTGTACTTGCCCCTATAGCCTGTATTTGTTACTTTGTAGACCCTTAAAGGTGCCATCTCCTGATTTTTGAAGATTTGGGTTTTAGACATTGTGAAATCAAGGACGGTGGTGGCCCTGGAACTGGGTGGATCAAGACAGACAGAGTGTTTCAATCAGGAGAATCAGCATGGGCAGTGGTGTGCAGCCGGAAAAGGTGTGGCATGTTGGGATCACGGGTGGACGAGGTTTGGGGCAGCACATGGTGAAAGATGAGGGCAGTCATAGGAGGCGATGTTGTGGAGAGCCTTGAATGCCCAGGTGAAGAGTTTGCACTTGATCTTTTAACAGATCAGTGGTTCTCAAAGTACAGCCTCTCAGACCAGTAGTATCAGCAGTAGCACTTGGGACCTTGTTTGAAATGCAAAATATTAGGTCCCAGCCCAGACCTGCTGAATCAAAATCTCTAGACTAGGGCCCAGCCATCTGTGTTTTTCTGTTGTTGTTGTTTTGTTCTTTTTAAAGTTTTACTGGAGTATAGTTGATTTACAGTGTTGTGTAGCCATCTGTTTTAAGGAGCCTTCTAGGTGACTC